ATATGCTAGAATAAATATCAAGTTGTTGAAGAATCATTTCTGCACACTTCTCAGCAAAATGAAACATATTTTACCTTTGCATTCTATTTCAGAACGTGGTATCAAAGAATTCAACAAAGACTGGAGAGTGTAGCAACGAAGAAATTTCAGCATAAAAAAGTACAGGCGAGTTAAATTTTCAATTAAAAATCCTACGTCCCCTGCTGGTTAACTACAGCACACTGCATAAAGTTTATTGTGATGACAACTCTTTCTAAAAAGCACAATTTTTTCTTGCCCTCTCTTCCTTTCAAAGTGTCTTCTAATCCTCAGGCCATGATAATTCTATTTAGCATCTTTTATTTTAAAAATAAACAAGGTGAGTTTAAAACAACAGAGTGGTTACTGTTCTTTGGAAACCAGCAGATTTAAGTCTAGGCCCCTGGTGTCCTCCGTCACGCTTCTAACTCCGGGAAGTGAAGAGGAAAGCCCACCTTCTGACAGTGTTTACCGCACTGGAAGGAGCAAAGAGCATTGACCCAGAACGAGGTGGAAGAAAGCGAAGGCACTAAGGGGCCCCAGCGGGGTCGCCGCGCCAGATGCCACCCGGTCAGCGGCATATGGGAGGCCCGGGATTGCTCCCAGCACCTTCGAAAGGGCCGCGGTGGCGGCGCGGGGCCCGGAGGCGAAGGCGAGGCTGCGAGGCGAGGGGCGCGGCGGGACCAGCACCTCCCGTGCGACGCGAGGGGCCGGCCGGCGGAGAGCCGAGCGTCATTTCCAATCCGCGGCGGAGGCGCACGTGGGGATCGAGGCCGCAGGGCCTCCAGGAGCCGCCGGAGGAGAGGGCGGCAGGTGCGGGAGAGGCAAGCGGCTTCCCCAAGAGGACGGGCCCCGGAGGCCGCGGGCCGGGACGAGGGAGGAAAGCCCCGGAGCAGAAACAAGAGGGCTCTGGAGGCTGAGACACCAGCACCACCGACAGGGCGGGGGGAGGGCGGGGGCAGTCAGGGCGGCCGGTGGCGGCAGCGCTGGGGGCAGAGATCGGATTGGGGGGCCCCGAGGGACGCTCCCCGGCGCGGTACCCCAGCTCACCGTGCCTCCATCCTTAATGATGATCTTCTTGGCCAGCATGATACTGCGGTTCGCGGCCCGTTTCTTCTTCTTCCCCTGGGTCATTTTACCATCCTCGATTCCTGGCGCTGCTGCAGCCACTCCCGGGGCGGCCGGCCCCAGCGGCGAGTGCCGTCCCGCCACTACTGCCGGGCCGAGCCGCTCGGGGCGCCCGCCGCCATCTTGAGGGCCCGGCCTGCCTCCGGCGGCGCGTCACATCGTGCGATCCGCGGCGGAGCCCGCCCCGCCCCGCCCCTCCCACGTGACACCGCCCCGCCCTCTCGGTTGCTCTGCGTTCGTCCGGCGGCGAGGGAAGCCCAGAGGGAAGCCGCTAGACTCGCGGCTGGTGCTACCCGGTGCTCGCTTAGTCCTTACAACAGCCCTGGGCGGTAGGGACCCTTATGGTCCTTCCTTCACTGATGAAGAAATGGAAGTTTCTAAAAGTTACCTGCTCGTGGAAATACGGCTGATAAATGGTTGCCCTGGAAATCTGCCCAGGCCTCCTCAACTATTAGCGCTATCTCCAACGGTGTTCTAATCAAGACGCGAATCGAAAGGAACAGTTGAAATCGTTTTCCAGAAATAGTGGGTAAGGATAAACTGATTTTTCAGAAACAGTGTTTTGTCTTCGTGCCCAGCCCCTACTCCTACCCACCCCCGGCTCCTCGGCTCAACTGGAGCATGGTTTCCAGCAGCTCCCTAGTCCTGGAACCTTTTATTTCCTGCCAATAAAAACGTACATAACCTATGTTACACTTTGTAACCAACTACTTGTTTTACCGTATTGCTTAAAAATCAGCTTAATGGGGGTAAAATTCTAGAAATGACAGTTGACACAAATGAAATACGGCTACAGATTACAGTATCACAATATTAAGTCTGATTGTTTTAACTGTACTGTTAGATAAGAGACTGTCCCTTTTCTTAATACACTGAAGTCAAGGAGTGAAGGGATGTGATACACGCTACCTGCTTTCAGAGATAACATGTTTGTAAATGTGAGGAGGGGGTGAGAGTGACAAAAAGGCAAGTTGTTAAAAACAGTGTTTTTGAGTATGGGGATTTTAAGATATGTTTACAAATTCAGTGATATACTTTGGAAGAGATGGGGTCTAATTCTCCCCTTCAGTGTGGGACTGGGCTGAGTGACTCTTTTCTGTCTAATAGGATATAGCAGAACTGACAGCACTGACTTCAGCGGGTAGGTCATAAAAGGCACGGCATCTTCCTGCTAGGTCTCTCTTTTTCATTCATTCTGGGCTCAAGTCTGGGGAAGCCAGCTGCCATGTTATGACACTCAAGCAGCCTATAGCCAGGTCTAGGTGTCCAGGAACTGAAGCCTCCTACCAACAGCTATGTGAGTAGTCTTGGAAGCAGATCCTCCAGTACTGGTTAAACCTTTAGGTGACTACAACCCCTGCCGACATCCTGACTCCAATTTCAGGAAATCCTGAGCTAGGGCCACCTAGATTAGCCACTCTGGGTTCCCTGACTCTCAAACTGTAAGATAAAAAGTACTTATTTTAAGCCACTAAGTTTTGGGGTAATTTATAATATAGCTGTAGATAGCTAATACACTGGGTAAAGGGAATGTGTTCTTTGTACTATTGTTGCAACTTTTTTTTTTTTTAAAGTAGGCTCCACACTGGGCTCAAACTCAAATATCAAGACCTGAACTGAAATCAAGAGTTGGGGCCCCTAACCAGCTGAGCCACCCAGGCACCCCTATTGTTGCAACTTTTATGTAAGTTTGAGATTATTTCAAAATAAAATATTAAAAAATAAGTTTGAATTTTCTGTTCCTTCTATTTCTATATAGAAGAACATTTGACTAGAAATGGAAAACAAAGGCAATTTACCATGATGGATAGTTGAAGTTACATTTTCCCATCAATAAGTAAACTCATCATTTGTTTATTATTATTATTTTTTTAAATAGGCTCCACATCCAAGGTGGGGCTTGAACTCAAGATCAGGTGTGGCATGGTCTACGGACTGAGCCCTCATCATCTGTTTAAAAATATTCTATTGCTGAAACATTTAATTGAGCCCCAACATGAAGCTCCTTAGAGAAAGTCATGACAAGATTTCATAACTAAATTCCCAGGAGTTTGTTTTGGATGGACATAGAGGGCTGGTTAAGATCATTTATTGTGGGGGGCACCTGGGTGGCTTGGTCCATTAAGCATCTGCCTTCGGCTCAGGTCATGATCCCAGGGTCCTGGGATCGAGCCCCACATCGGGCTCCCTGCTCAGCGGGAAGCCTGCTTCTCCCTCTCCCTCTCCCCCTGCTTGTGATCCCTCTCTTGCTGTCTCTCTGTCAAAAATAAATAAATCTTAAAAAAATGATCATTTATTGTGTGGTTACTCTGACTTTTCATAGCCCCTCAGAATGATACTTCATTGAGCTATACCAATTTTACCATCCTACAGAACTGATTATTATTCAAAAAATATTTTTGAGTACCTTTAAGTGTTTGTCAATGGTTTACTAGACACTGAGGATACACTCATACATGAAGCTTAATTATACTGGGGGACAAAATTATGAAACAAAACACAAAAAGAAGATAATTGCAGACTGTGGCAAGTGCTGTTGGAAATAATAGAGAGAAATTTAACACATTGAATGTCCAGAATGTCCCAGGCTTTGTGCTAGAAGAGCTGTAATAGTAAACAAGAGAGATCAGTCCTGTTCTAACAAACCTGTTGTGTATGTATTTGTGGCTTTTATATGATTTGGGGTTGTGAAGATTCACAAACTTTACATTAAGTGGTTAGTATGTCAGGATTCTTCGGTTACAGTCAACAAACTAACATTGGCCAGCATAAGCAAAAGGTAATGATTCTGAAGGATATTGGAGTCCCCCATAATGATGAGAAGGCCAAAAATCAGGCTTGAAAACAAGTAAGAACCAAGGTGGAAAGTTTGTAAGAACACTTCATGAGGCACCTTGGGAAGTACAGGGATCCCTTAGAAGAGCAAGTGGCTGAAGCTCAATATTCCTAAAGAAACTAAGATTGTATCACAGAATCCAAGCCTCAAAATGCACCATTTATTAAAGAAACTGCACTTCACTATATTAACAGAAGAGGGCTTTCTTTAACTATAAAACTGAGTCACCCATATCCCTTCACCCCTCCCTTCCATAGAACTACCTTTCCTTGCTGATCCAGGAAAACCCAGAACATCTTATCGGGACAGAAAAAGCTTTCAAAAACCCATACAAGGCAACTATTAAAACAGAAAGCCTTTCAATTAAAAGAAAGTACTACCCTCTAGGAAATATGAAGCAGAGGAACTACATACAACACTCTAATATGAATTAAATATCATTAAATATACAACCACAGATGTGAAAGGATGCAACATATACAAGGTTTAAAACCCAGTAGGAGAAAAAAAAAAAAAAAAACCCAGTAGGAAGATGTGAGAGTTGATCAAACTCAGGCAATATACTGAAAAAATAAAATCATCTAAAAAATGTATACTAGGGGCGCCTGGGTGGCTCAGTTGTTAAGCATCTGCCTTCGGCTCAGGTCATGGTCCCAGGGTCCTGGGATCGAGCCCTGCATCGGGCTCCCTGCTTGGCGGGAAGCCTGCTTCTCCCTCTCCCACTTCCCCTGCTTGTGTTCCCTCTCTCGCTGTGTCTCTCTCTGTCAAATAAATAAATCTTTAAAAAAAAATAAATATACTATATTACAGGGTTCCTAAGAAAGACATAATGAAGGTAAGAAACATGGAGGAGAAGCATAAATCAGTTATGAGAACAAGAAAAGAAAGAAAAAGGGTCAGAAAGAAGATGACGTCGAAAAATTATCTGGGCCTCCAGACAAAAGCCAACAACAAACAAAATTAACATTTCCCAAAAAGAAAAATATCAAGTGGTGCCAGAATGACAATAAAACCAAGCAACACAATGGTGGAGCAACATTGTCCAAAAAATTCAAGAAATTTTGAGTCAAGGATTTTATATCTAGTCAAGCTGTACTTAAAAGTATCTAGATTCTAGGGGCACCTGCGTGGCTCAGTCCATGAAGCATCTGCCTTCAACTCAGGTCGTTATCTCAGAGTCCTAGGATCAGGCTCCCTGCTTCACTCTCACTCTGCTCCAACCCCCAACTTGTGTTCCCTTTCTCCCTCTCTGTCAAAAAAAAAAAAAAAATTAAAGTGTCTAGATTCTGAAGAAATTTTCAATATTGCCAGAACTTGAGGAACAGTGTCCTTAGAAGCTTTCCTTATATACTTTACTGGAAGAGCTCTATCCAGCCATTAGTTGATTGGGAAGGATTCAGCTAAAGTACTAGTGGAGGGTATTAAGTATATTTAAAATATATTTAATTTATAACAAAAGCAGGCACTACAGTGAGAAAATAGTGTGTAAATGTTATATATGCTCTAACCAAATAGTAAGGGAACTAAAAAATATGAAAATTAGAGGAAGGAGTAGAATAAGTTCATTGGTTGTCACGGCAATTAGATGGGAATCAGCATTTAAATATGACAAGCTAAATAGAAGCCTAGACAAGCAAAAACGGGGGCTCTAAGAGCATTATATAAAATGTTAACAGTATAAATGTAACCACTAGAACATACAAAGCTTTCTAAACATAAGAAAATTTAAAAGCAGAGAACACACTCCAAAGGGCAAAGAAACAATAAATATAGCAATATACATGATTGTTTCTTTTTCAAAAAGAAACACAGGAAATACAAACTAGAAGCTATTGAAAATACTACCTTTGGGGGTGGTCAAGAATGGGGTGGAAGGATAGCCATGACAGCTAGACTTCTCTGAGTATACTTTTTATAGAGCTTTAACTTTGAACAATGTAAATCCTTTACATACTCAAAAACAGAATAAAACTCTTATATACTCAAAAACAATAAAAATCTTAAAAAAAAAAACATCAAAAACCCGATGCGGGGCTGGATCCTAGGACCCTGGGATCATGACCTGAGCCGAAGGCAGATGCTTAACGACTGAGCCACCCAGGCACCCCTTAAAATTAAAAAATTTTAAATCACCATTTTGCACCTCAGTGTAATGTAATAAATGATTCAGCTAAGAATCATCAATTGATGCTAAAGTTATTGAAGGCTGTTAGGAAAAGAATATTCCCATGGTGCCAAAACATTGCCTTAGAGATTACTAATTACTAAGCAGGAAAAAAAAAATTACCTTTACAATGGGAAGATCTCGTAGTCAACACCTTGACCAAATGATTATCGTCTTCAATAGTGAGATAACCTAGAATTATGTGTTTTCAGTATGGTAAAATATAAAATCTACAAGATCACCTATGAAATATTCTTTACGAAAACATTTAAGCTGAAGCTAATCAAACCTACAGACTCCACTTCCAGTTCAATGGAAATACAAAGAATAAAGGGAACAAGTCAAAGGATACAGACAGATCAAGGATAGGAGCAAAGTGATTTAGATTCTTTAAAAAGTCACATCATGGGGGGGAAAAAAACCAAGGGGATGAAGGGAGGGATCTTCTAAACTAGCAAGAGAATCAAATACAGGGGCGCCTGGGTGGCTCAGTTGTTAAGCACCTGCCTTCGGCTCAGGTCATGATCCCAGGGTCCTGGGACTGAGCCCCACATCGGGCTCCCTGCTCAGCGGGAGGCCTGCTTCTCCCTCTCCCACTCCCCCGCTTGTGTTCCCTCTCTCGCTGTGTCTCTCTCTGTCAAATAAATCAATAAAATCTTAAAAATAAAAAAAAGACAATCAAATACAAAGTATGAACCTCAACTGCATCCTGGTTCAAAAACAAAAAAAAAATGTAAAGTCATTTTTAAGACAATTGGAAGTATCTGAATATGAACTTAGATAACAATCAAGATAATTTAAATTCCCTTAAGTATGATAAATCGTATTGAGTTAAATAGGAAAATGTCCTTATTTTTAGGATATGCATGCTGAAGTATTTAGGAATAAAGTGTCCTGATAAAGCTAGTATGGCAAAATGTGACGTTGTATTTAGGTGAAGAGTAAATAAGTATACCATTCTTTCAACTTTTATGTATGTTTAAATTTTTTCAAAATGAAAAGCTGAAGAAATTTAAACTGAAAAAAGAGTCTTTAGCAATGATTACTTTGTGAATGCATGGAGATAACACATGAATTTTTCAAACCTAATTTGGCAAAATCTCTCATAGCATGATTGAAGCCATTAAAATGACAATAATATTATAAAAATAAAATATTCAAAACAAAAACAAACCTGCCCTATAAAGTAAATGAAGACAAATAACATTAAGTAATGGAATTTTGGAACATTATGCACATAATATCCAAAGTGGACTTCAGCTTTTCAAACTCTAAAATTCACAGCAATATTTTCAAAGTCATAAATTGAAACATGGACTCATCTCCTGTCATGATTTTCTATAACTCTCTATCACCCAACAAATATAACTCTACTTTGGCTATAATATTTAGAAAACCTATTGAAGGAGCTTGCTTATATTAGAAAAAGCTCTTAGTATCACAATTTTTAATTGCTGTATTTACTACCCACACAGAATAGCACACAATAAAACTTTAGCCTGAAGGAGAAAATGTAAACCCTCAATTATTAGAAATCATGCTTTTTACATGCAGTGTCTTTTAAGAGAACAAACACATAAAAACAAGCACATTCACAGATTTTGTTAAAAATACAGAAGTCTAATTTAGCAAATTTAAACCCCTTAAATACTTTACATTTCAAGCACATTTTAACAAGAGAGTATTTTCAGATGATTTCTCCCAAACACTATAACAATGTCCATT